GATAATTTTCAGAACGCTGATGACGATTAGAGTACTCAATAATAGCACAAAAGGCGATGGAAGCAATGATGAATCCATCGTGATGCGACAGAGTAACGTACAAATCGAGATGCTTCGTCGGACACTGCGTAGAACGTTATGTGCGTGGTACGTGCGCGAAGGCTATATTGGAGGAAAAAAAATCGGTGGGAAGGGGAAACGTTTCTCGATATAATCACAATGTTACTTGTTGAATTAGTAACTGCACGAGAAATAGCTACAGCAACGAATCTTATATATCATGTATCTCTTAAATGAATATTATATTTAAAATAAATGTTTAAATATCATAACCAGCCAATTGATTTTAAAAATAGCTCTCGGTAATTGACAATTTAAAAAAAAGCAACATACAAATATTATGTTAGCAAGCTTCTAAGAAGAATACAAAAGCTTACGAAACTTTAATTTAGTTGAGAGATAACATTGGACTATGTGCCACTCCAATTTATCACACACACACACATTATAAAAATAATCGCTCTTAAAATAAAGTATTAAAAATATCATACTATTAAACAATTAATGGAAATTTCATTACGTCATTAAAACGATCAGCATAATCAAATAAACTTGAAAGTATATTGTATATCACAACACTTATTAATTTCTTCATTTCACGTTAGTAAAAATTTGCATTTAGCATTAACACTAACATTCGACTTATGAATTTGCTTTAAACGATAATGTAATACATTGCAAATAAATCTTGCTGATTATTTCAATTATGTTTGAAAGCATAAAACTAATTTAAAATTACAAAATGTGAAAATATTTTTTCGAACAAATTTAATATGTATTGTAAAATAATATATCTGCTGCAAAATTTTTAAATTTCTCTCTTCTCTAAGCCAATCCAAAATCCGCCAACAGGTTTTAATATAAAATCCCTTTTAGTGAATACAACAGGTTCGACAGTTTTTTCCGTAGTTTTCAAAGTAAACTTTTGTAAAAGATGAGCAATGACAACCTTAGTTTCCATAAGAGCAAATCGATTGCCGATACACTTTCTGGGCCCATGACCGAATGGTAGATAAGTGTATGGGAATATATTGTCTTTGTTTTCTTCGCTGAATCTTTCGGGATCGAATTTGTTTGGATTAGGAAAATACTTCGGATCGTGATGTATAGCATAAGCAGGAAACATCACTGCATCGTTAGGTTCGATGATTACATTTTTACAACCTGGTAGCGATGGAGGCAGTTCATATCTCTTAGCACAAACTCTATCTATGAAAATCTGCGGTGGATATTTTCTGAGAGCTTCTGAAACCACCATATCCATGTAAGTCATCTTGGATAGCGACTCATAAGAAATTTCACCGTTTCCGTCGGTAAGATGTTGCTGTACCTCCTGGCGCAAACGATCTTGAATATCTCGATTAACCGCCAGTTCGTGAGCAACGAAACACATCAGGATCGCAGTATTTTCGAAACCCGCAAGGAAAAAGATAAAAGCTTGCGAAACGATGTCGTCTAATGACATTTTGTGTACAGAGTCACCTTCTTTATATCGAGACTGCATTAGCAAATGGATCATATCAGGTCTGACGATACCTTGATTTTCTCGCGCACTAATTGTTTCCTGTACGATCTTCTTGAAAAATTCGCTCATAGTCGACGGAAAGATAGTCAAACCAATTAATTTAGCAAGCCATGGACACTTGAGTAATATCATAAACTTGGCCAGCATTAGTAGTCCTGTAGAAAATTTGATAGCCTCC